ATGGAGGCCTTTCTCCCTGACCATGGTGGAGCTCCACGTCCAAAACAGGGTTCTGAGCTGTTGAGGGCAGAAGTAATCTGTAGCTATTTTAATGTGTGTGTGTGTGTGTGTGTGTGTGTGTTTATGTGTGATATGGCAAACTGTCGCCTGCTGGATTGCTACTTTAAGAGTGGGAGTTGTACATAAGTGGACTTAGTGATAAACCTAAGATAGACTGCAACGTCAAGAACATGTCACAGTCATCTACAGCTTATTCTTCACTTTAACAGACCTGCTTTCACTATCCTATTTTTTATTAACCACAAGCTGCAAAAGTGACCTTGGCTTGTGCAGCAGAAAGTATTAGAATACATCTAATATCAATTGTTGATGTGAAGAAGCAGTGTTGCAAACATGTGAAGTGCATAAGAGAAAAAACATCTTTCAAATACATGACTAATGAGAGAGTGTTGGCAGACAAAAAAGGTGTAGCCACTGTGTAACTACATTAGCAGCACCTCATCCTCTAAATGCTCTCTGACTTAAAAGTCTATTTGTTTATGTGAAGAGGCAATATCTCAGCACACAGATTCCCTAGAGACAGTCAGCCATCCACTCCTGCAGGTCTTCCATACTTAGAGCCATCTTAATAAGTAATGAGATCTGTCTGCGATGCAGCTAAAAAATCTGTTCACATTTTCTTGTTTGCCTTTGAATAATAATTATTATTATTTGAGGCAGGGGCTGATAGTAACTAATCCGTTTTATTTCTTCACCCACTCATTTCTGCTAGCACAATGTAGAATATTGACAGACTGATAGATCTACGAAAGGTTACATAGTGTGAAAACTATGAACACGCTACATACGTATGTATCAATAAATACAACTTTTGTCTTTTCTGTCATTGTGGTTTTAGAAATTACACTCTTGTTACTGTATTGCATGCAGTGGTTACATTGGCCAACAAAGGTCAAAGATCAAAACAAAACAAAGGTCAAAACCTCACAAGCTCAGATAACAGGGAACTACACTGTGCGATGCTTCCATACAGAATATAAAGATGCCTCTGTGATATTAATCAGTGTTTGTTCAGCAGTTTTTTTTGGTTTAAATAGCTTTGACATTTAGAGAGAGTGAGAGAGCAATAGACAGGCACATGAAAAGAGGAACAGTTACAGAGACACAGGCAAATACACAGACAGGTGAATAAGCTGTGTGATCAGCTTATTTCTACAACACATACATGTAGAAATTCCCAGCGGTGCTGTACAAACTGGCTCAGCGACAATGCTTATGTTGCTAGCAGCTAATGTTATGTTTTAGAGGATCAGATTGTTGTTTTTTTAAACAGTCTTGGTAGCAGGACTTGTGTGCTGATATTTCACTAGCTAAATAGGCTGTCTGTCTTTATCTGATCATGACACGACAGTCATATTATTGTACAGTTTGGGAAAATTCCCGAAATGTTTATTACATACTGTAACCTGGGGTTCTTTGAGTATAGAAGAAGCTAGGGTTCATACCTTGTCAAGCTTGGCTTCAATCTCCACCACGTCTGTCTCGACATCATCAATGCCAGCCCTGCAGAGAGAACACAAAACCACACAGTCAATCAGGTCTGATCTTCAGTAATTCACCAGAAGGAAGTCCAGAAGTCTTTTTTGAGAGAAATAACCACAAATGAACCTTAAAACCAAAACAGTCACAGTCAGAACAAGATTCCAGTTCTTGTTTTGGAGAAATTCCTTAGTGGTAAGCCACAATGTCAAAGTGACTAATAGCAAGTAACCAAAGATTATATAATTTAGGTTTACGATGACTGTGTCTTGACATTAAAAAGAAAGAAGAAAAAAATAGGAATAAAATTGACGTTAAAGATGCAACCATGATATAAAAAACAAGATATAAAGGTCAAACTGACAGTGTAAAGTCAAATGAATACTACACTGTATTTCTGTGTACTCGAATACAAGACACAAAATCCTCCCACATTAAATGAAACTGCAATCAGTCACCACACATCACAGACTTCAACATTAATCTTGATGACGGGATCGACAAAGACATCACTGTGGAAGATTAGTGGCCACGGCTGAGCTGGAAAATCAATGAATGACATCATGCAGAAACGTAGACTGTCCTTTAAGATAAGGTGAGCTCTTAAAAAGTTTACCAGCAGCTTTGCATTTCATAACAACAAAAAAGAAGCAATGTTTTATTGTTCGTGTACATTAAATATGAAGCTAACAGGACTTAATGGCCCTCAGCAGGGTGTGTGTATGTACAGTATGTGTGAAGCCTTTACCATCCTGCCTGCCCCTTCTTCCATTAGCATGCAAGTACACTCACAATTACCCACATGCACATACAGCCATTGATCACATTTACGGGATCAATCATTATGACTTACAAGGTTGTGTTTGGTGTCTTACTATGTCAAATTGTATTTTTTATTTCTCTGATACACACACGCACCACTATACACATATAAACAGCTCACTAAACCATCTTAAAAGAAATTCTATAAAAGATAAGTAAGACAGTGAATATCTCCTTAAATTAATTTAAAACATCTCTGAGCTCGTGAAGTGCTGTGATCGAGCCAAGAATCAGCGTCACACCCTGCTTGTGCTGGAACATGTCGACCATAACCCAGACAACATGGGAGAAGATGATCTCATCATGTGATCTCAACCCCACCCTCACCCTGGGCTCTCTCACACGACATAACATCCTGACAGCTGATCGTATACGTCATAGCAAAGATTGTGTGTAGAGCTGGAACAGACATATAAAAAATAAAGAACAACACCTGCCTTTCAAATTTATATTACAAAGGTCATGACTTGGTCTGTTTCTGTTTAAGAGGGGAAGTAAGCAGACAGGGAGGAGCTGGGATGTCAGCTTTACCACCTGCTTCAGAGGACAACATTCCCAGAATTCCCCTCTGCTCCCGCTCTACTATAGATGCTGATTCTTCCCCTGTGTCTGTCTTCTACTTGTCCATCTCCCACCCAGAATGCACACTGTTTATACAGACTTCAATTTGCTCTAACACAACATGACACTGACACAACAAGGAGGCGTGTGTGTGTGTGTGGTCTGCACAGAAGGCTGATTTATATTGTTTTAATGAGAAAGATGGAAAACAGGTGAGAGGAGCCCAGACCTTGCATTAAGTTATTTTTGTAATTTGCTGCACTTGAGTATTGTTACTGCAAATTTGACTGCATGCAGTCCAATCCGCCAGTGTAGCTTACAGCGTCTGCCCCGTTTGCTGCATATAAATTTGAAATACAACACAAACACCGCTCACAAGCTGTGAGCCATGTGCTCTATTATGTCACTATGAACCTAAGAATTTCTTTTTAAGAAATTTTATTTTTGTTTGTTGACATTTCAAAGCACAAAATGGGGTTGACATGGACAACATTAGTTGTACAGGAAAAAAGACCTTTGATCATGTAAGCAATGGGGCACAGCCTATATCAGCACATACAGTATATGTAGTCAAATTTTCCAGTGTTTTACATAATCATTCTGTCCCAGTCTCAAGATAAAGGTCAGTTTTCCCCATTCAGTTTACTTAGTTGACAAATGTGGTCCAGTCATCCTTTGTTGGAGGGTTTGACTGCGGCCACTTCCGTGTGATGGCTTTCTTGCTGACACCCAAGATTATTTTAAAGCAGTGTTCATCATGAGCCATAAGTTAGTCTGGAATGTTGGCCGGCTATAATGTGACAAAAGAGCAAACAACTTATACTCCAAACATGCACATTACATCCTTAGCCATGTCTTGCCAATATGGAAGTCCAGAAAACATGACAATGGTCAGCAATTTTTTACCGCACTGCCTCCAGCATTCATCCCATTCTTCATAACCCCTTTGAATAAATAAGTCAGAAAATATCATAATAAATTCCTCCAACTCCTTCCAAGACCTGTTATAATCTGTCTCTGTCTCCCATTTCTGTTTCACATAATGTAGCTCTTTGGCGTTTTGAACTAAACACATTCAATGCCAAACAGCTGTTCAGTCAAGAGGATAAGCTCATTACCGGGGCATCTCAGGCAGCCCACACTACCAGTACAGTACATGCCAATATGCATCTGATGACAAGGATGCACGTTGATATAGCTGCAGCTGATATCCCATTGATCAAAGTTTAGTTCAAAGTTCAAACTATGATAATTATTGGACTTTGTGTTGCATGTTGGATGTAAAACTAAACCTATGAGATGCTTTTTTTCCAGCATGTTTTTGACATACACATTTGTGCATGTACGTGAAGCTCGGAAAATCAATACACTAAGAAGTTTGTCGGTTCTGGCGAGTTTAAATACTGTACACAAATAAATATTAAAAGGCAACGCGACAGAGGCAAATGTGTTCTCGGAATGTACCAAAGAGTGGTGGGAATAAAGTAAAAGACTGACTCCCAAGGAGGATTATGGGTACTGCTGCAGGACATGACGGCTGAATGAGGACGCTTTAGAGTGACACTTGCTTCCTGTATGTGTTCAGAGTGTGTGTTTAAACATTAGAAGAACACTCCAAAGCCACTACGATGACGATGATGCAGCCCAGTGAAGTGGGGGGATGGTGCCAGTGGTAGCATGCTGTACTGTACAGGGTCTGACATCACCCGTGAATGGGTCCTCACATGCACTCCCATCAACCACAACAACCATCTACACTAATGTACAGAGTCTGTGTGCACTCTAGCATGGCCATCCTCTTGCATCTCCTCACATGAGAGCAAAGTACATATTCAGTCACACACACATTGGGGACTTCACATCGAGTTACATTCATTTCTTGGGGACTTACTTGCTTGCTTAACCATAACCTTAAACCAAACTGTCAGCCTAAAATTCTGTGTGCTGCATCATGAGGACCAGCAAGTCCCCACAATGTGTGTGTGTCAACAGGCTTCGGTTCCCACAGTGAGTATACCAGGCACGCACACACAAGACACAAACACAGCACATATACCCCCACCTGGAAGGACAGCGGCAGAGGGAACAACAAGTCCTCTGATACCAGACAAAACAGGTGCTCACATGCAGCTAGACACGACCAAAAATGTTCACTGGAACACATAATACATGTCTATTACAACGACTATGTCGAGTACAAGCCAAGATCTTAACCTGTTAAACAAGGGGACTGCAGCAGCACAGAACAAGCTACAGCTGAAAACTGCAGGATTTTAACCAAAAACACAGCATCCCACCATATCTGAAGGGAATTTAATGCAGTGTGTGTGAGCGTGTGTGCCCTGAGAATGTCTTAATTTAAGGTCTGTCTGTTCTGTGGTGCATTCTAATCTGAGCCACCGACCTAATATGCATGTATAGAATATGTGTACTGTATAACAGTGTGACAGAATACAAGTATACTGTTCTTTTTTTAATGTACTGCAAACACATTTTATTGTATCATTAACAGTTTCCTGCAATTCCTGCATCTTTTACTTTACGTTTGCAAGCTGACTCAGCAAGTTAGGCTGAGATGAGCTGTGACCTCATTTTCTACTGACATCAGGTGGATGGAAATCAAATTCTCACACACACACACATACATACGCACACAGATAATCTTATATACACAAACAAATCGATGAGCTGTGACCTCATTTTCTACTGACATCAGGTGGATGGAAATCAATTTCTCACACACACACACATACATACGTACACAGATAATCTTATATACACGAACAAATTAGAAGTAGGATATGACAGACTGAACATACACTGTAATACACGCACACATAGGGACAAGCAAATATAAACAAATAGAATGGATGCAGAAAAGGACAATCAGAATACACACAAAGACACACACACAAGCAAACACACCCCAACGAACCCAGAAACCTATTAAATACATGGTTTCATCAAAAAACTCTTAGCCTTCTAGGGCCAAAAGCCAAAACTAGGTGTTAGACAAGTTTCGGTCCCGTAATGAGGATGAATATATGAACAGCAGTATGTGGAAAACCATATATAAAGAAACTTAAAAAGGATAATCAAGCATATTTTATTTTACTGTAGTAATAAGAGCTTAAGGTTGTTTCATACACATGCATGCAAACCCTCATGGACTCATAGGACACTAAATATCATCAGACATGACAAATATAGTCTACTAACAGTGAGTGATGGGACAATACTATACAGTACATCATTTGTCAGAAATACTTGCCATAATATTTATACTGAGGTAGCTATCCAGTAAATGTTTTTATTAGATCACTGTGGGCGTTGTTGTATCAGCAAGCATGAATCATGGCTGCTTTAAATGATTTTAGCATCAATGTGATGAAGTACTTTGATTTTGTCAGGTAATTAATTCACTGGAGTAACAAAAGCTCCTGCTGGTTATTTAAACCCATTAACATTTTAAGAACAGATTTTCCAGAAAATGACCATCAAACACACTAAAATGAAATATAGGGAGAATTGTATCCATATCCATATTATTTTATGTTTTTTATGTGCCTTTAAAGACACATAAAAAACATCGATCATCGGTGTGTGAATGTTGTGTGTGAATGGGTGAATGGTGTATCATC